ATGCTTCTTTGAGGTTTATACACTGTGAGGCAGATGGATCACCAACACAATTTGCTTTTGTCAGACAGGTGAGAAACATACTATGAGGAGAAAATAGTATATGGTAAAACCTCTGAAGGGAGGATGAGACAATTTCATATATTCTGTGTTAAGATGGAAGATGATAACCTTAAGCCAAAGGAAATCTAGAGCCTAAGGGGAGAAAAAAAAAAGTACTTTGTACTTTGGGTCACAAAAGGAAGAATTTCCTCCACTGGAAAGAAAAATGAGGCCGTGTAGAACAGGCTTCCTCCAGACGTGTGCATTTATCACTACTCACAGATTACATTACCAAGTGGTTGTTACTAAGCAAGAACCTGATGAGGTCTAACAGCAGCAGATGTCTAACAGGCTGTTTCCTTAGCAGATCTGGAGCACAAAACAAGCTGTAGACAGAACGATGGGAGAACTGCGCACCCAAAAATATTTTGGGAGACTGCAGAGTCTACAAACCAGGAAGCGCCTCGCCATCCTCACAAACTGATGGTGTGGGAAGGAGACACAACCAGACTCACAGGGACCCAACTGGATGTCTTTCTGAATGAGCATGAAAGGCACTTGGACCGATAGCTCTCCGAGTTTCCGATTTACAACAGCCAGTAAGGTAAGCAGCAAATATCCTTGAGAACTTTATGTTCTTATGTATAGAGAAAAAAGTCCCAGGCAACTTTTTATACAGAGCTCTTGGGAAGAGACCAACTGGGAGCATCTGAACTACAGAGAAATCCAAGAAACAAATCAACAAGCAAACAAAAGCTCAAAGCTCATACTCTTGGTATGAGAAAATTTGCAGCTTCTAAAACAAAAAGATGAATTAGGGGCAGGATGTGGGAGAACTTTTGAAAGACAAGTCCTGGTTTGGTTCTTCCTAAAGCTAGTAAAAGCTCTGTCCCACCCAGAAAGACTCTCTAAAGACAACAAATACTTACCACAATTCTCTGAAGGAGATTCCTAATAATTCACTAAAAGAAAACTACGCAAAGAGAAGGAACAAACATCAAATTCACAAGCATCAGTGATGTGAAAATATAGGAGAGGTGGAGCACATGTAAATAGGTGAACCGCTATCATTTATAAAATTATTTTTCTGTATGTTTAGAGTAAAAAGTATGAGTCTTGGGCTTTTTTTTTTTTTTTTTTCTTTTTTTTTCCTTACAGAGCGTTCTAGGACTATCCTGAGCTTACCAAAAATCATGCAATGGAAATCAGCAGAGATGGGAAGCATATTTCCAAATGATGGAAATGTCCATTTATTTATTTATTTTTAATACAGTTCCTAAGAGTAATAGGTTCCCTAGCTCATCTAGAGCCAAGGTAGTTACTGTAATACAATTAATCATAGCAAATAGAGCTGGAAGAGACCCAGGAAATCTACTAGGTCACTTGCTGCTCCAGGTTTGGACCAGTATGACCTGCAAAACTGCTGACAAAGCTATGCCTAACCTGCTCTTCCAAACTGTTGGGACGGGAAATTCCCGCCTCCTCAGACAATCTATTAACTGTTTATCACTTCAAAGCTGTCCTAGTGGCCAATCTTCACCTCTTCTGACGCTATCTAAGTCTACTAATCTACTTATTGTCCTGCCCACAGAGAACACAGAGAAGTCAGTTTCTCTCCCTTCCTATCTGCATCAGGATTTGTTTCTGAGTTCTTTTTATTTCTTTTTATTTATTTTTAATATATACATTTTAAAACTGTCTACAGATGTCCTTTTCTTTTGGAGGGGGGAAAGAAATAATCATAATTCTCTCAGTGTCTCCTCATACGCCACGTTTTCTAGACCCCCTCAGGACTCTCTGCTCACTGCATTCCCAGAGATGAGCTTACTAGAGTAAGGAGCAAGGTGATGTTAAATGCTCACTGGACCCATTGGAAACACCAGGCCTGGTCCACTTGGCCACTTTCTCTTGCATGCTCGGATATCCATGTCAGCAGGTTACCTTCTCTGGCCCTGCTTTGCAGAGCGGGTCAGCCGCAGCCTGCAGATGGTCTCCTCTACCCCTGCGGCTGCAAAGGCACCTTGACCCGCGCGTGTGGCCGGTTGGCAGCCCTTGGCCATGCAGGGACCTGGCAGACTGCGCTGGGGGAGAAACTTGTAAAATCCAGTCAGACTTAACCAAAGGAAACCAACCTCTCCATCAGAGTTAGTCCGCCTCTGCTAGAGCATGTTCACTTGTAGCCTGGTTTCTCCACACAGGAGGATAAATGGGCAAGAAAGGGAATGCAGTGTGGTTGCTTATGAGCAGTGGACAAAGGAGTCGTTTTCCCAAAGGTAAGTTACATGTCCCTGTTGGAAACGCAGGGATTATTTGGAAAAGTGAGCAAAAGAATACTCTGCTTTGCAGTATTTGTGAGTTCACTTTGCAAAATATGCTCTGCTGGAGTAGTTTAACTATTCCTGCTTATTATTTATTTCTTTATTTTAATCTGCTGCAAATTCAGATGAAAAATGAAGCCCCTATAATGTAAGAGTCTCCATGTCCAAAAACTGAGAGTAGAGCAAGGCAAAACCACATGCAATAGTGCCCTGTCTGGCCTCTTCCGTTTGTGCAGACTGCAGTTAGATGGACTGCTTGATTTTACTGCACCACGTGAGCTGAGCTCGCATTTTCCTTGATGTGTCATTTCGTTCCTCCTCCCATTCGCTGTGGCTGTGGGCGCGCTCTGACGGGTCGGTATCGCTGTGTGTGCCAGGGAGCTTCTTTTTCAGGTAGGTTTGTATTTCCTTCTCTTTGAAGAGCCAAATTATCGCAGGCTGAGCGCTGCAGGAGTGGCAGGGACCACTGTGAACTGGAAAAAATAAGGGAGGGCAGAAGAGAATATATAGAAATAAACTGCTCTTGTAATTGAGACTCAGCGTTCTTTCACCCTGGGTTATGCATTGCATATATATATATGGTGTTGTAGGTCAGGTGGGGCAAGTGAGTAAGAACACGTTGGAGCAGAGCAGCGCCAGGCAGGGCTGCCCCAAGAGAACAGTTTTCCTGGAGGCTGCACATTGCACAGCACAAGAGCAGCACAAGAGCAAGGCATTTTTGTCACGCACAACAAGTAAGTGTGGCTACCTACACCTCCTAACCAGAAAAACTACATTGAGGAGAAAGTGCTGATGTGCAGCAGCCTCTGCTGTGGTTGTAACAACAGTGCCAGTTCAAACTGACAGCCTCAGTATGAGAGTTGTGAAAAACAATGTTACGATAGGGATGGGTTTGTCCTAACTGTGGAACAGAAAATGCCAAGTCACTCCAAGCAGACCTGAAATATGTTTGATAACATTTGTCAGTACTGGCCAAAGCCAAACAGGCGCTAACAACCTAGCTCTGCAAATCCTTTTTTTTTTTAATTTAATTAGCTAACAAATTAATTGAAACCAGTTACCCATATTGATTAAGGCCAGGAGCTGTTTGCTGAGTACTAACCATATTCCTAAGATGGAATTTCCATTGCTTATCTTACAGGGGAGTGTGTTTCTACTGCATGGGCCATACTAAAAGCTCCTCTAATGCTGAAATGAGATTTGCCACGTTAAAGGTCCGGGGGACAATAACAAGAAGCCACACTGCAAAGCTCATTCAGTCGTAGTTTTTGCTCTGCCAGCTGAGTATTTTACAGTTGATCAGCCAGCACAGAGCCCTCTTACAGTGGCCTCAGTTGAACAGCATGGAAAACAAGATCTTCTCTTATCTTTTGCTCCCTTTTTTATTTTATTTTATTTTTTGGACCCAAAGCACCAAGTCTCCTAGTGACTGGGATAAGGATTGGAGAAAAGCACCAGACCTGCCACTGACATAGCTTGTCCTCATCACCCAGGATGGAGCTCCAAGTATTCTCTCCTTTGCTTCACAGCATGCTGGATCACCCAGCAAAACACATATTGGCATAACCTCGAATCAGCTGAGGCTGCCTCAGCGTTACTTCATGTTGGAGCAAAACAACAGGATGTTGAACAGAGCTGAGCTCCCTCCGCGCTGCTGCCTCCTGACAGTGGATCCGGACAAGGAGACCCTCAGCTCTCCCAGACAGTGGTCCAGGCAGCCCCACTGCTGGAGGAGAATCACTACTTTGCTTCGGGCAAAGCCGTGTCACCAACCAAACAGGTTCCTCTACCAAATGCAGGCACAGGTCTTAGAAACGAGGATGTCTCATTAGGAAGTCTAAGGTTAGATTAAATGGTTTAAATAGTAGGTTTTGCTAATGTGATTTCTTGTGATGGATGTAAGTCAGGAGCTCCCAAGTCATGATTTGGCAGAAACTATTTGGCTGTACAGCAACAACAGATCTCGTACTTAAAAATGAGGAAAATATTACTGCAAAATCCTGTTGGCTGTGACATCATTTGACACACAAAAAAGACTCTTCTATTTTTATAGGTGAGTGTTCTTCGCCTAATATGGCAGCACCGTGTGCTGAACAAACCTTTCCTAATTATGAAACAGCAAGGGCTGACAAACTTGAATGGTTCAGAAAATACCTCCCTGAGACATCATGTGAATAAGAAGAAAGAAATACACAAGGCGTAAATATGAGGTTTTCCTGTCACACAGTTCACACACAGGAAGGGAAGGGAGAGGGGGAGCAGTTTAAAACATAACCACAAACTGAACACGGGTTCACTGTGACATGATGGTCTTTGCCAGCTCAGTAATATGCAAACTGAACACGGGTTCACTGTGACATCTATAGTGCCTGATGGTCTTTGCCAGCTCAGTAATACATATTCTCTGTTTAATCCTAGGGTGCTGTGCAATAGCTTTCATCTGCAAGACATTCGCCACTTACCCTGTTTTCACATTAATGATGGCTAAGAAACTATTAAAAGGATGACAGTGGTATATTACGCACCGAACTGACACACGTACTCTCCAGCAACAAGCAAACACAGCAAGCAGAGAGCCGTTCTGTGGTGTCTGATATGACATCTTTGCAATACTTCCATTGGGATTGTTTTTTTCCGGTAGCAATGCATACCCACAGGCGTTGCTTCTTTGCTGTTCTGATTTTCAGCCTTTCACTTCCATTTGTTTTCTACACTGTTCACTTGCACACACAACAGCCTCCCAGCACACTGAGCCTCTCAGGGAGTTCAGCTTTAGCAGAAGCCTGTAAAGCACTTGATGAGGACAGGCCATTCTTTCTGAAGGAAAACACTCTGAAAATATCATTCAGAAAAGCCAATTGCACTGAGTACCTCGTGCAGAATCACTACATCACCCGCGCCCTGTCGGCGGAGGAGGCCGCCTTCCCCCTCGCCTACATCATGACGCTGCACAAGGAGTTCGAGACCTTCGAGCGGCTCTTCCGGGCGGTCTACATGCCCCAGAACGTCTACTGCGTCCACGTGGACCAGAAGGCGCCGGCCGCCTTCCAGGAGGCCGTGTGGCGCCTGCTGCGCTGCTTCCCCAACGCCTTCCTGGCCTCCAGGACGGAGCGCGTGGTCTACGGCGGCATCTCGCGCCTGCGCGCCGACCTCCACTGCATGCGCGACCTGCTGGCCTCCGCCGTGCCCTGGAAGTACCTGCTCAACACCTGCGGGCAGGACTTCCCCTTGAAGACCAACCGCGAGATCGTCCAGCAGCTCAAGGGCTTCCGAGGCAGGAACATCACGCCCGGGGTGCTGCCGCCGGCGCACATCGCCGCGCGCACCAGGTATGTGCACAGGGA